AAACTGGTTGTTTGGTGTCAAACTTGTCAAAACTGGTTGTTTGGTGTCAAACTTGTCAAAACTGGTTGTTTGGTGTCAAACTTGTATAAACCGGTTGTTTGTTGTCGAACTTGTCAAAACTGGTTGTTTGGTGTCGAACTTGTCAAAACTGGTTGTTTGATGTCAAACTTGTAAAAACTGGTTGTTTGGTCAAACTTGTAACAACTGGTTGTTTGGTGTCAAACTTGTAAAACCGGTTGTTTGATGTCAAACTTGTAAAAACCGGTTGTTTGGTGTCAAACTTGTAAAAACTGGTTGTTTTATGTCAAACTTATAAAAACTGGTTGTTTGGTGTCAAACTTGTAAAAAACTGGTTGTTTGGTGTCAAACTTGTAAAAGCTGGTTGTTTGGTGTCAAACTTGTAAAAACCGGTTGTTTGTTGTCGAACTTGTAAAAGCTGGTTGTTTTGGTGTCAAACTTGTAAAAACCGGTTGTTTGTTGTCGAACTTGTAAAAACTGGTTTGGTTGTTTTAATAAAAAAGGTATCCGTATATCTATCTATCCAATTAGAACGGGTTTCAATTCTTACCGCTTTTCCAACGGTGGGCTGGGGACTTTCGAGAAGTTCTGAGTAAGTGTGTATGTATCGATCCCAGAAGAAGGCACTGAGCGCTATCTGTATTCCGAAACAGAAGACAACAAAAAATAGCCTTCTGCCTGTCCAGTTTGTTTGGTTTCCGTTTTCGGTCGTGTAACCTTCATTTTTCTCCAAGTGTTCTTTGGGGTACAAGACCCGATACTGACTTTCATTGGGCGGCCACCGACGAAAGTAGTAAAGACACCCCACAAGAAAAGCTGTAAACCCCAGTGCGTCGGCTAACCCGTCTATGACGTAGCCAGAAGTTGATCGCAGTGATGCGTGCTTGACCAGCCCCATACGTGCACGAGCAACTATGCCGTCCAAGGCATCACACCAGGTTCTGACCTGGAAGAAGAGTGCCGCGACTCGGTGCCTGATAATGTTATCGGACACTATACATTTCGCTGCAATAACAGCAAACACGAGACCCGTGAAACTGATCATGTTGGGGGTGACGACATAGCATTTCTCACTGAAAGACGTGACCTGAAAAACAAGGGGAATAAAACAACAGGTAACTTAATTATAGTATTTTGTCACTTGTGTATAAAGTTAAATCATAAATAATATTCAACGTTAAACATTTTATTTAGGCCTATCTATGGCCTTCAAAAAGTTAACGACTCTACGTGTCTCGACGTTACAACTTTTTGAAGGCCATAGATAGGCCTAAATAAAATGTTTTTAATTGTGTACCAGTTTAACGTTGAATATTATCTATGATTCTAACAGGTAACTTATGTTAGTGAACAACGACAAAGAATCATTATTACAGAAAATGACATACAACTATAAAAATAAACATTTCTTTTAAAGAAACATAAACAAATTAGTGTTGTTTGAAGAAAAAAAAAACTACCCAAAAAATAATAGAAAAAAAACAATACATACAATCCTGTCGCTGCCATGACCTGATAGTTAAAGCGCTCGACTCGCAATCTGAGAGTAACGGGTTCGAATCCCTGTCATTGAACGTTCTCGACCTTTCAGCCGTGAGGTGAATCCCACTATTCGTTGATAAAATTGTTGGTAAAATATGTCTGCTGACTTACAACGCTAGAAACTGGGTTTCGATACCCGTGGTGGGAAAAGCACGGATAGCCCATCGTGTAGCAACAAACAAACCAAGACTGCTACGTTAGGGATGGCTAGCGCAGGTAGCCCTCGTGACGTTAGGGATGGCTAGTGCAGGCAGCCCTCGTGCAGCTTTGCGCGAAATGTAAATAAAAAAAAGTAAACGCTCCAAAGGTGTTTAATTTATCTATTGCTATTGTCAACTATTGTTTGTAATCAAGCACAAAGCTACCCAATGGGCTATCTGTGCTCTGCCCACCACGGGTATCGAAACCCGGATTCTAGCGTTGTAAGTCCGCAGACATACCGTTGTGCCACTAGGGGGCGTTAATTTATCTAACTTGCAGAGTAACTAACAATAATTTTATCTAGAAACACTGAAATAATATTCTGTACTTTAGTTTCGAAAATATGTATTAATATCCAATACTATTATCTTTCAGAAGTCAGAAAGTTAAAGCACAGCGATTCTCTAAATTAACATAAAGCCCAGTCTACCATTCCAGCCATCTACACCAGTTTAGGGAGAATCCAGGTGGTTAAGGCGCTCGACTCGCAATCTGAGGGTCGCGGGTTCGAATCCCCGTCACACTAAACATGCTCGCC